TCCTGGATGAACCAGACTCTCCTCTAGAGGTTAGCATTTCTGAATAATACGTTTCTGAATAATCGTTATGTTGCACACTAAAGTGGTTGGAAAGATAAAACTACACTTGTATTTTCTCACATTATCTTCTTTCTATCATTTTAGCCATTTCATAATTTGAGAAAGGTATTAGAAACCAATTTACATGTTGTAATTTGTGTGCAAAACTAAGCAATTATTGCTGTGTTGATCTGTATTTACCAAGGTATTCCAAACCCAGCTAAGCCATATTTTAGTACTTATTTTTCATATTAGTAGTCTAAATATTTTAGGACATTTTAATAGTGTATTGGAATAGTTATTGAAAACGGCATTTTAGGCCTGAAAAAGTCATATCAGTTATAACAAGCTTTCCTGTAAAGATGAGAATGTTACAACACATAAGCCCCATTTCTGTTGCATTTGCTCACCATGTTGTATTCAATCGGTGACAGCGTGTTCATTCTATATCTGTGTGCATGAGTGTCAGTGTCTTCTGTTTTTGTTTTTTGGGGGGGATTTCAATCTTGGGGAATTCCCTACACCAACCTTTTTTTCTTGCGATATCTTTAATTCACTTTCAATTGCATTTAACGACATAGAATACCAGTTGACAGTATAAAATCGTTTAACTTTAATATTTTTGAGATCGCTCCAAATGTTTCTTTTTTTGTTTTTGTTTTTTCATCTTTTCTCCTGTAGTTTTGCCGTCTGTACTCTGAGGGACGCTGTAGTCTAGCATGTTACTCTGCAAGCGTACGTTGTCAGCAGTTCCTCCCCAATCTTACAACCACAGCGACAGGAGGCACATACTGGATAGAGGACACGACGTTTTCGAGTGGACGGGAAAACACGTCTCGGTTATTGTTTTGTTCTTTGTCGAGGAATATGCACTGACTTTCTGGCGTTCCTTGGGAATAAAGGTTGACGCGTTTTATTCAGCAGAAAAAAACGTGTGTTTCTGCCTGTGTCATATTACCGAGGAGAACAATGAAACGGCAAGTACCGTTTTTTGTCTCGTTCCTTTTTGTCAGCTCCGTTTTGGGACATGTCAGCTACTCCATTAACGAGGAAATGTCAGTGGGTTCCGTAATTGGAAGAATAGCACAAGATTTGGGTTTGGACGTAGAGAAACTAAAATCACGCAAGGCTCGTGTGTTTTTTGGTGATAGCACAGAATATATTGAGCTAAATAAAGATAGGGGAGTCCTCCTTATCAAAGAAAGAATAGACAGAGAGACGCTCTGTGGTCAGATGATTCCATGTGCTCTACAATTCCAAATTATTTTAGAGAAACCTATTGAATTTTACAGAGTACATGTTGAAATTGTGGATATAAATGATAATACCCCCCTTTTCGAAAAAGGGGATATTAAATTTAAAATAAGCGAGTCTGCAGTCATCGGGTCGAAATTTGATTTAGAAAGGGCGGTGGATTTGGATGTGGGAATTAATGGTCTCCAAAACTACATCCTCAAACCGACTGATAATTTTGCTCTTAAATTACACAATCAGGCAGACGGCTCCCGAAATGTTGAGATGGTTTTAAAACAGCCTCTTGACAGAGAGAAAAATGAACATTTATCTTTAGTGTTGACGGCCGTAGATGGAGGAGAACCTCAGCTGTCAGGGACAATGCAGATTCAGATCACGGTGTTAGATGCTAATGATAATGCACCCGTTTTCACGAAGTCGGTATACAAAGCTAATGTCGCAGAAAATTCACCAAGAGGCACAGTTGTAACCATAGTCAGTGCATCAGATGCTGATTACGGATCAAATGGACGAATAACGTATTCGATCAGAAATACTTTAGACGATGTCAGACAGTTGTTTGAGGTAAATGAACACACGGGCGAGGTTAGATTAACAGGAAATATTGACTACGAAAAGTCAAACAATTATCGGATAAATGTGCGTGCAAGTGATGACGGAGGACTAACGGACACATGCAAAGTAATAGTTGACGTTATAGATGTGAACGATAATCACCCCATTATTAACATAATGTCTGAAACAAATGTTATATCTGAAGATATCAAAAGCAACACTGTAGTGACAATAATTAATATTCAAGACATAGACGACAGCGAGAATGGCAAAGTCAGCTGCACAATAAATGAAAATATTCCGTTCATATTACAATCAACGGAAAATAATTTCTATACCTTAGTAACAGACAGTGATTTAGACAGAGAGAGAGCCTCTGA